CTCTCTCTCTCTCTCTCTCTCTCTCTCTGAAAAAAAATTTATTTTACTTACTGTTAACTGAATAGGAATTGAGGGCCGCCTTTGATAAACAAACCCCACGGCTGTCGCTCTCGGCTGCAGTTCAGGCGGGTTTCCCCGGGGGTGCCATCAATAAGGCTTATGATATACCAGCGATGGCTAAGTAAGTGACAAATAATATTTGAAAGTGCTTATTACTATTATCGTGATAAGCAAATGCGACAAACAAAGTTTAGCCGCAAACAACAATTATGGTGATTCTATCAAATGCAGATTGATAATTGAATTGCAGTATAAAATTAGACAAAACCTGTAATTAATACATTATGATCATTTTATATAATAATCGTTATAGAAATTGTTAACAATTTTGGGGAGCGTTTTAAATAAGATCTATGAAAAATTACAAATTATTGCATATTTTAAATAATGTAATTATTTTTATAACAATAGGGCACTGGATTTTATGAGCGTAATGACTTATGCCCTAGCTGGCGTATGGGATCATAAGACTGGCCATAACTCGGCATTTCAAAAGTCCATAGACTATACACAATCATACGTAACGAAAGGTATGCCCAAAGACAAGGTGTTGATAGGAGTGCCCTTTTATGGCAACGTATTAACCCTACAAAACCCGGCCCAACACCAAATGGGTGCTCCCATTACCGGTGCCGGTAATATACCGGGCGGACAGGATGGGTCCGCCCTGTATAGTCAAATGTGCGATTTAGTCAAGAATAAGGGTTGGCCAAAGGAGACACCTGATCAGGGTCACGATCCAATTTCCTACCATGGTAATATATGGGTTTGTTATGATGATCCGTACGCCGCCTACGAGTAAGTGTTTTTTTTAAATGATTTATTATTAATAAATATATATTTAGTGTTCCCAGAATTGAATTATGTGTTTGAAATTATGAATACAATACGTAAATTCACGTAAAAAAAAGTAAAAACACTTTTATATATTAGCCTTTCATGTAAACTGTAACCAATAACTGTAATATTTTTATTACATATATAATTAACTGAAGTATATTTCAAATTGGAATATGATTACAATTATTTTTAATATATTTTTAAATTAAAATGCTTAAGGTTATTAAGTTATTAATTTCTTAAGTTATTAAATTAATTATTATTTAAATAGCAAGAGTAATTGGGCTAAAATCAATGGTTTTGGTGGTGTAATGGTGTGGGAGATTGCCCAGGATGACATTAATGGTCCATGCTGCTCGGTGAAATTTCCAATGCTCCGGGCAATTAACAATGGTTTACTTGGCACAGGTCAGGCACCCGCCACCTACGGCTGTGAACACAAATAATTTTGCTTTTTAATGATTTATATTTATAGACATAATGTTAGCATGTAAAATGTAAACTTAAATTGATATCATGTTAATTTTACATTAAATTACATTTATATTATTAATTAAAGATTTATTTGAATACAGATATATTATTTTAAGATTGATTCTATGCATTTGTTATAATAATAATACTATATTATTTATTATGTTAAACAAATTATAAAAAACACTAAATTAAATATAATTAGTTTTCATATTCTATTTAAAAATTATATTTTATTATAGATAACTAGGACAGCCCGCGGGTTAGTGGAGTGGGCGGGTTAATGGAGTTGCGGGTTAGTGGAGTAGGCGAATTAGTGGAGTGGGCGGGTTAGTGGAGTGGGGTCAGGGTCTCACTGTAGCGGGGTCAGGTGGTGATGTGGAAATTAATTAAAATGTATTTTTTATTTCGTTTTATTGTATTTTTATGTACTTTTTTCTTACGAATAGCGTTGAAGTCTGGAAACATGTGTTGCTACTTAATATCACCCGTTCCATACCATTTACCGTTCAATATTATCTAGTTCCCGCCGTAATGCGGCGATCTCTGGGTCCATTGGCGGGTGTGAGACACTGTCCAATCGCTGACATGATGGCTGTGGGTCATTGACCTGTCGTTGACCGGAAGGCACCTGTTGGTCAATGACCTGTAGCTGACCGGAGGGCAGCTGTTGATCATTGACTTGTTGCTGGCATTGCGCTGGATCTTGTGAAATTACCATTTCCTCCATTCTTAGCGGTAATTCATTAGATTCCATAAATGAGATGTTATACTCTATAAATCTGTTTAATGAATGTAGTTTAGAATTAATTTAAATCTTTTAATTTTTAATTACAATTCATATATGAAAAATATGTTTTTAGGATCGGTCGGGTACTCCGCTTTTCTCTATGTTAAATTTATGGCAGTGTTAAATCTATGGGCCTAATGCTAATTTTATAAATAATGTATATTGTATGGGAGTAATGCATATTTACTTTATAGAATTAGTGCTAAGTTTATGGACAATAATTAATCTATGGCAAGTCTATTGTACTAATAATATACATGTAGGTAATATTAGTAATATAATATTCTTTGAATAATACCCGAATTGTGGTTAACGTATAGCATAGTGTGTGGGCAAAATATCTTGTGTAGCAATTTTTAACCACTATTCTGATATGAATTGTTATTGCAATAAATAAATTATTTAATATTAATCTTCTTGAAATAATAACGACAATAAATTTATAATATATTGATAAAAACTGTAATTATTATATCATTATAATTTTAAATAACTAGAATTATTAATTTATTTACATAAATGGTTTCACAAACCATTGAAATTGAAATATTGCAATAATTTTATTATACTCCTAATAATAACAGAGCACTTGACTACGTGAATGTGATGATATACGTGTTGGCCGGCGCCTGGGATCACAAGACTGGCCATCACTCGCCGTATCAAAAGTGCATAGATTATAGTCAATCATATGTGACAAAAGGTATGCCCAAAGACAAGGTGTTGATAGGAATGCCATTTTATGGCAAAACATTTACACTGAGTGACCCCAACCAACACTCTATGGGCGCCCCCATCACCGGTGCCGGACACACACCGGGCGGACACCAGGACGCCGCCTATTACAGCGAAATGTGTGATTTGGTTAAGAATAAGGGTTGGATTAAAGAGAGACCGGATCAGGGTCACGACCCCATTGCGTACCATGGTGATACATGGGTTGGCTATGACGACCCATACCAAGCCTATGAGTGAGTGGTTTATTACATGTATATTAACTAAAATATAATTGTATCAACTGATCATCTTATACACCACTCTACTTTCAACATAATTTAGATAGTTATATTTATATTAGCATTGAAACTGATTTACAGTTTGTTGTTCAATGGTGTAGTTAATTTTAGTTTTATATCTTATAGTTTGCATAGTTACGATGTATAACTATGCTATATAACATTTAAATACAAACTGTAATTTACACATGATTGAGTTTAATAATTACGGTTTGAATAGAGATTAATTTTAAATTTGGACCCGATCGACCCTGAATTTGATTTTTAAAACTACTATCCTAAAATTTAAATTACATGCACTTTTTAACACTTTTTATAATAGCAAAAGCAAGTGGGTTAAAGATAACGGTTTTGGTGGTATAATTGTATGGGAGATTGGCCAGGATGACATTCATGGACAGTGTTGCTCGGTAAAATTCCCTCTGCTTCGGGCAATAAATAATGGTTTACTTGGTACAGGTCAGGCACCCGCCACTTACGCCTGCGAACATAAATAGTTTTATATTATAATGATTTTAAAATTGTAATTATTAAAATTTAAATATATTTTTTAGTTTTAATTTAATATATTAAAATAAAATAAAATTTAAATAATCTTACTCTTGTTATAAAATAAAATAAATTAATTGAACCAATTTTTAAAAACAGACTAAAATATTTCATAAGTAAATATGCAGATAATTAATTAAGATTGCAATGTAATTAAATGGGAAATATTGCAGATGCTATAAAATTATCTGTTAAACAGTATTAACAACAATAACTTAAATAAAAAATATAAACCAATATCAACAATAAATATGATAACAATTATCATTGATAAGTTCAAGTATTGAACTAATTATATACAAAATATAAGCTAAATAATTGCAAAGTCTGTTTTTTATAAAAGAGAGATTACAACAAATAATTTGATTTATTTAACAAAACAACATTTCCTTAATTCTTTAACTTTTAATAATTAATATAATAAATTAAAGTAAATGCTTAAACTTGCTAATTACTTTAGCTTTTATCACGTATAAGAATAGTATAACAATGAAAGTGCTGTTATATACAGCGTTAGTGTGCGCACAGTTAGCGCTGTCCGTATGTAAGCCCCGAGTGGTCTGTTATTATCCCGACTATCGGTTGGGACCGTTGCCGCCCGAAAACATAGATCCAACCCTTTGTACACACATACTGTTTTCATTTCACAAATTGGACCAGGGTAAAAATGTAATTGTCGACAGCACCGGCAGCGCACGACCTGATATATACCGACGCCTGACAGCACTTAAGGCTCGCAACCCTGAGCTCAAAGTGATTGTGGCGGCAGGTGGTGGTGGAGCCCCCGACGCACCATGGTCGAATATGATCAGCAATCCTAGTCTGAGAGCGGCGTTTGTTACCAATACTGTCGCCTATTTAAAGCAATACGGTTTTGATGGTCTGGACCTCGACTGGGAGTTCCCGGTCTGTTGGGGCGGAGACTGTAATAAAGGACCCGCTAGTGATAAACCTAATTTTGGCAAACTTGTCACGGTAAATCTCTCTCTCTCTCTCTCTCTCTCTCTCTC